TATTCGTGGTAGCGGGTAGACATCTTTTTTCGTAATCTTGTTTAAGCGGCGATAGTTCACGCAAAATCGAACGGTGCCACCTTTTTTCTTTACCAGAACCACAGGTGATGACCAAGTGCTTTGAGAAGGTTGTATGACTCCACGTTTAAGCATGTCGTCTACTTGCTCCGTAATGACGCGGCGCTCTTCGGCGGAAACGCGGTAAGGACGCTGTCGCAGAGGCGAATGTGAGCCGGTGTCAATAGTATGAGTGACAGTCGTCGTGCGGCCCAGAGCACGTTCTTGAAGGTCGAAAGAAGAGCGAAACTTATTAAGGAGAGCAACAAGTTGGCGGCGATGCGAGAGGGGAAGGTCTGCGTCAATAGCATTGTCGAAGGCTGACAAACTTGATGGCTCAGAAGCATGAGTGATTGCGGCAATGTGACATGGGGTTTCGTCGGGAAGAATAATATCATCAATATGGTCGACAGGTTGTACATATCCCAAGGTTTCACCACGGAGTAAGCCAATGGGGTAGTTGCAGTGGTTGGTAACCAACATTACGGTTAAAGCAGACGCAATTGTAAGAACGGCAAATGGGAGCACGGTGCCCTTGCGTTCAGTAAAAACAGGGGATGGCGTAAACACCACCGTGGCGTCAGGTTACGCCACACATGAAAGGCTTACAGGTACCGAAGCTTCCGGAGGCAAGGTGATGTCGTCGTCAGCGATGAGTTTGCAGAGCCGAGGAGACCGGTCGGGTGGTGGAAATTCACATGTTGGCACAAGGGACACTTCAGCACGGGAACAATCGATGATAGCTTCATGACGTGATAAGAAATCCCAACCAAGGATAAGGTCATGAGAGCAAGATGGCAGAACAAAAAACTGTAAGACGTACAAAACGTCTTGGATGACGACGCGCGCCGTACACACAGCCGAGGGATGAATGCGTTGCGCGGTAGCCGTGAACAGCACCATGCCACAGAGAGATGTGGTCACTTTCTTCAGTTTCCGACAAAATTTGGCATTCATCGCAGAAACGGCGGCCCCGGTATCAATTAACGCTAATATGGCGACTCCCTCAACATTGACATCAACAACATTTTGCGGCGAAAACGAAGGCCTTAGGAATTGCGCACAAGTTGCAGTTCTTGCCTCCGGAACTGCACTGATTAGTTTCCCTCCTCAGAAGGTGGTCGACGACGCATAGGTGATGGCGATCGGCGACGAGGGGATGGGAAACGAGCAGTCGATGGGCGGCGATCCGAGTCTGAGTGCCTCTGTTCATATGCAAACGCGGTGGCCTGCTGCGGCGCGTAGGCAGGAGTTCCGAAGTATGCGTTTGCAGGCGTGGGGCGACGGCGGCAGAAGCGTGCAATGTGGCCAGCGATGCCACAGGCGAAGCAGATAGGACGATTGTCTTGGGTGCGCCACTCATTAGATCGACGGAAAAAGCGAGGTGGGGGCCTGTAAACTGGAGGCGAGGCCGGAGGAGGTGGAGCCGATAAGGCGACTGGATTCGGTGGGGGCCGCACGACCACAGCTGCGTAGCTGAGAGGTGAAGGTGGTGCAGGTGGTGCGTATCCGACAGCTGAGAGATTGGGTGCTACTGAAGTGCATGGGTAAGGGGCCTGCACTGTAGGGAGGACATCGCAAATTTCAGTGCGTATGGCCTGCTGCAGTGTCGAAAGCAGGCTTGCGGTGGGCGCGTCACTATGCGGCAGCAGGGAGAGCTGTCGGGCGACTTCCTCCCTGATGAAGTCTTTGATCTGGTTGGACAGACTTTCTTGGCGAACGTTGGCATTTGCGAGTGCGACGGCCGAGATCGAATCCGGCGGTGAGACACTCTGTCGGGCGATGGAACGCTGACGGCGCAATTCATCAAAGCTCTGGCAGAGGCTTACGAGGATTGCCACTGTGGTAGGGCTTTTCACTAGCAACATCTGGAATGCGCCATTCTCGATGCCCTTGAGAATCTGCCGAATTTTCTCTTCTTCAGGCATAGATGGAATCACACGCCTGCAGAGGTCGAGCACGTCCCCTATGTAACTAGTAAACGTCTCGCCAGGCTGCTGGGCTCGGTGGCGCAGGCGTTGGTCAGCGCGAAGCTTGCGGACCTGTGGTCGGCCGAATGCTTCAGTCACGAGTGTCTTAAAGGAAGACCAGTTGGCGGTGGCGGTTTCACGGTTGGTAAACCAAAGGTTAGCTACGTCTGCCAAGTAAAAGATAACGTAGGCGAGCTTAGAGTCGTTGTCCCACTTGTTGCCGGCGCTTGCGCGTTCGTACAAGGAGAGCCAGTCTTCGACGTCTTGCTCACCACTGCCGCTGAAGATTGGTGGGTCCCGTTGGCGAGTAGCGCCGGGGCAGGTAGATGGGACAGCCGGTGGTGCTGGCTGGGCTGGGATGGGCTGGTTGGTGACTGCGTCAGTCATGTTTCGCGGTGGTCTCTCGGGCAACTTGCGAGAGCGGAGCTCCAGGTCTGCTTGGGGATCTCAGCGGCCTCCACCAAATGTGATGACGTTTATTGAACCGGAGAAGTCGCAACGATGTCGCAATGAAAAATGGCCGTACGACAAATCTGGCAAAGGCGGCCCAGGTTCTCGTACAATCAGAGCACGGGGTTTTTCGTTCTCTTTGGAAGGCGCATACGCGTTAGTGCGTATGCTCCACTACACCATATTCACTGCGGTCTCCCTTCGAAGCATTTTTCACACCTCTGAACGAACATTTGTATGCCCTTCAAGAAATACTCTCAACTTTTGTCTTCAATGTGTCCGTGGACTGCATTTTTTGCTTCATCTTCAGCAATTTTTTTTCGTCTCAACAGATCCCTTTCGGCTTTGATGAGAGGTAGCAGTCACTGGGCGCTACATCTGGGATATGGGATGGGTGATCGGTTTTCTGAAATCTGCAGCACTTCACCACAGCCTTCACAATTCTTATAGTGCGTACTGGAGTGTTGTTGCAAAGCAAGCAGATGCTGTGATGGAAAAGCTGTTGACTCTTCTTGCTTATGCTTTGTGCAGATCATGAAACACGTACACATAGTTGCAACTCGGATACAGGCCTCTTAGTGCTTCGTGCCCAAGGCAGCTGTTTTGCAATCGCAGTGAGTTTTAAATGGTGGATGAAAAAACTTGAAAATTGTCCGGCAGATTAATGGCCCCCGGGCTCAGGTCTCCCATGTCTAGACATCAAGACCTGGCATCTCTGCCACTTCACGGGCCTGCTGGACTGCCCAGAGCTTGCGACAGACCAGACACTCATAAGGTTACCCCTGTGTATATACAAAAGAAAGGCAATGGTTTGGGGTGCTTGTTTCTTTGTTAGACTCAACTAATAAAACCAAGACAGCCTGGGAGGTCGTAGAGGACATTATTTGCTCCTTTTTAGGTGTAGTGTTTTTACCTGAATTCAAAAGTCTGTCTCGGTGGATCAGTGGCACGGCTGCTGACCCGAAGGTCGCCGATGCGATCCCAGCTGTGGCGGTCTCATTTTCGATGGAAGCCAAATGGTAGAGGTCCGTGTATTGTGCGATGTCGGTGCACGTTGAAGAACACCAGGTGATCAAAATTTTGAGAGACCTCTACTACACTGTCTCTCATAATTGTATCGTGGTTTTGGGATGTTAAACCCTTCATATTAATATTACCTTAATTGAAAGGAAATAAACTAATTGAAAAATCACCCATCGGTGGGACCTAGACCGAGAGCTTTTGAATTACGCATTCGATGCTCTACTAGTACACAAAGAGGAGGGTAGACATGAATCTACCCTTTGTCCCTTCTTCTTTCATACCCTCTCTCTTGTTCTTGCCCTTATGTTGCTCCAATGCATGCGACCAGTTTCAGTAATCAGGATGTATCACGACATTATATGCCTTTCTTTGTTCCTGCCAGCGCTACAGTGCTCTTTGCTGCAATGTAAACAAACTGCCACATGTAATGATGTCGTGAAAGTGTTATGTGATGCTGTGTCAAGTATTTTTTGATAGGCTTCGGTATCAAAGTATCGGTTTCCCAACTTCGATGCACTTGCTGTCATCTTCTTACTGGCGAGAAATTTGCAAGTTTCTAGTGATTCGAAATTATTTCTCAGGTTCTGTTTGAAAAGTGTCAGTTAATTTTTAAAATCTCCGTTCTGGTAGATTCTTGCTACTCTTTGAAGAGGACTAAAGGCACACGGAAACGTGTAACGACTGAGTGTTCAAACACTTCCAGCCAATTACAAAGGGCTCTGCCACAGTTAATCTTCTGCTGCCACCACATCAACTAAGCGCACATAATGCCTTGCAACTGTCCAGCGGGTACATCGCTTCTTCGTGGAATGATTAATAATGGTGTAGGGAGTGCTTCTCAACGTCAGAGAAATTATGATTTATGGCGTAGTAGGTACATTACAAATGCTAGTCTTCCAGCTTTCGCTGTGACTGTGCTGCGCGTTCCATCCAGGCCTGGTGGTTTTTCAGTGTAATGATAGGTATGCGCAATTGCTCGAGATAACCTACATCCTGTCGCAACAAATATAGTCTCTAAAGATACTGTTGGCTCTGATCTACATGTTTGAGTTCAAATCATGCCGATATGACCAAACTGCAAATGGTGCACATGAAAGTGTGTACATTACTTAGCCCTAAATTGTCCCATTTCAATCTGTGAGTAATGTATCTTCTTTTGTCCATGTTTTTTTCATGTGGCTTTAGTCCTCCTTGAAATGGATTACCAACATGCTCAAACTGCCACATCAATGATTCTTCCTGCATTAAAATTATCAAGACTACTTATCCAAGCAGTTTTCCAATTGATGTTTCAAAAGAATTCGTTAGAAGAGACCGAAAAATTATCCTGCTTATGCCAGCATTACAGACCTCGTTTTAAAGTTTGCTTTGTCATCTTGTTTCAGTGAAATGCATGCCGATGTTAGCCATTGGTAGTGGCTTTTTCTGTGTCGCCTAATGTTAATCAACACTGCGAGTAAACTTGGAGGTTCTCTTGCGACATTCTTCCCTTGCTTGCAGGAAGTTGAAGACCATAACGCTAGCCCACCTGTCTCACATTAAGCACATAAAGCTTGTTGGCTTGATGTTGGAGGAAGCCATACCGGGCTGCAGAGTGCTTGGCATCAGCTACTTCGACTATGATGCACCGTCTGAGCAGAATCGGGAGACCTCGTCTAGCGAAGCCCACGCAAGGCCGCTTAGACAGTAGAAGGAGCAGTTTTCGCCACCAGAAAAAATGGAAGGTGTTTTGGAGAACTCGCAAAGAAAAAGTGCCGAGAGAAGCACATAGATAAACTGCAGCATTGTAAATATTAGGCAACTTCTGAATTTCAATGTGGAAGTAAATTTCCCATTTACCGAAGTTCTTCTCGTTGTTCGTGTTTTACAAGTTCAATTGTGTCTTTATGTGTTGAGGTTCAGAAAGCACTCTTAAGCAATAAGTTTTGCCTGTCTGCTTGGGCTTACCCAGAAACCAATCTATTTTGCTAAATACCGTAGTGAGATTAAAGCTTAGATAGGTAAAGGACTGTCCATATGATGGAAAATTATACAAGAGTGAAAGTACACAGTATACGCTGGCCAATAACAAACTTTTAATTCGAACACATATTTACATGTATTGTGCACATTAGAAGGACCCACAGGACTTGGCATTTCACATCCAGCTCCACTTGTTCTCATGATGACAAATGATTGCAGCTTGAAGCTTAAAAAAAAAGCTTGTTATAAATTATAATAGATTAAAGCTTATCTTAATAATAATCAAAGACAATTATTTGCGTTGAGAACTTCTATGACATAATGCTTTGCTGCTATCTGTTATGCAACCCTTAATGATGCGTTCAAGTTAGTTCCGAAAAAATGGAGCTGAGTGTTAAGAGGAGGTGTGGCAATGAAAATGTTTATTATTTGTGGGCATATATGCCCATAAAGTGAATGAGGAATAGCCGCTGTGGTAGCTCAGTTGATATAGCATTGGACGCGTTGATCGAAGGTCACAGGTTCGGTCTCTGCCCACGGCAAGTTATCTTTTTGTCGACATCTCTTCCTTCACATTTACACTACAATCACTTCTAATAACATCCCCTATACTTTCTGGCGGAACATGGGAGAGGCCTTTGTCCTGCAGTGAATGTAGTCAGGCTGATGATGATACTTTCTTTGGCATGATTGTCTGTTGGGTCTCATTAATATTGTGTCTGCAAAGAAATCAAGCTTTTAAAATGTACACTTCTTACCTATAGAAATAGTGCCTTCTGTAAACATTCTCGGCGTTTTGTTTGAGAAACACATGCCTTGGAATAAGCACACTCAACTAATCGCTGGTAACTTTTTGGGTGTGCAGTATACTCCACATATGCAAATACTATTTTCCAAAACATATTAAGCTTGTTATTTATAACAGCTTACTTGCTAACAGCTTAAGTACTGTTGCTTAGCTTGGGGTGCGACGGTGCTGACGAACATTAAGAATATTCACGTAATCCAGAAGAAAGCAATTCGTGCCATCATGAGCACGCCATACAAGTCACACTGAGCCATTCTTTATTGAGCTGAACGTAACTCCGCTTCCATCACTACAGTTGTGAGCGAAAAGTTATCTAGTGCGTGACCAAAAAGTTGAGAAAGATGCAAATAAAATCACAAAACTTTCTGGGTCCGAGTGAGGATCGAATCCAGGCTGTTACTGCAGTATTACACGTATTGTGAAGTTTGTACATAGGACGCCTGTGTTTGTAAAGGATGAAAGATATTTTCACTGCATTTCCAAGCAGATGCGTGGCTGTGTGGTATAACAGCTGCTTTATCGATTACATTGTAGTAGTCCACAATTTAAACTTCTCATGTAACATCATCAAAACAAAGTGTGCACTGAGTGGTCAAAGTACGCACTAGGGAGAGGATATGGCCATCACGTTCAACTCTTAAAGGTGCCCTGCAACACTTTTTGAGCATAGTCAAAAAACGCTGGCGATCAGTAGTTTAGGCTCCTGAGAACAAGCGAGCCAAATATTATAGCGCGGCATGCGGCCTGCAATTCACAGTGAAATAATCAGTCAGAAAAAAATTGCTTTCTCTTCTTTCGACAAATGACGGAGCTCAAAAATCACTCGTAGAAGGCCTTCCATCAGCCAATGGCTGGTTTGAACATGGCGTGCTGAGTCGTTACAGGGATCGCTGCAGGAGGCCGCGACTTGTCCACACGTGCGCCCGCAATCGCACTGGAAAAGGCGCGTATTAAAATAAAAAAAATGGTCAAAGTCACAAGGCGGGTTTGGCGTTTTCATCTGGGCGAGAGAATCCAATTACAGCGTGTAAGAAATCTCTGTAGCTCCACTCCTACTGGGCTAATTCTTGAAATGTTTGTGGCATTGAATTTGTGAGACAATAAGCTTTTCTAGTGAGTCCACTTCATAGTTAGGGTACTTGAAAAGTGGTTCAGGGCTGCTTTAAGAGCGAAGCTTATGGGTCCCCCAATTCTTTTTCGGAAGGGGTGGGGGTTCATCTACACTTTATGTATGTTCATGCGTGTGTGTTTGTATGTGCATACGTACGTAAGCAAAATTTAAAGATTTGAGGAGGGGCGGGAAAGGGGGTGCCTTCCAACCTTTGAATGCTTCTTGCCCCTAATGCAGTTTTGCACTGAATCCAGGGCCGAAAGACCCTTTAGCCCGATTTTGCATTGCTTCCATGACCGGACCACTTTTTACCAAGCTGTGAGGCGAAATTTGACGTCCCTCCAAGGTCATGATGACATCATAATGGCGTTCCAAATTTTTCGCGATCTGTGATGTCATATGGCAACGTCATCCCACATTGATGACTCTTCACATCATTCGGCCCCGACGGTCCAACTTCGCGTTTGATGAGTCATGTAACGCATTTGCCTAAAGAAAATACAAGCTTGGAACTTTTGTGGTAACAAAAAAAGCCATTGGCCCCAGCCAACACCACCTTCTAGGTGGTGTTGGCTGACTGTCTGCAAAGGAAGATAGGGAGTACGAAGCCATATGAATAGCTAATTTAATTGTATGACAAGCACCACAGCCGTTACCGGCCATGAGGAATTCAAGAAGTGAATACATTCATGAGACGGCGATGGAAGGTTGGAGTCCATGTGTGCTCAGGATGCTGATGAGAAGTGGCTCGAATGATTCGAAGGTGTTTGGCGAATTCGTGACAAATATTTGTCACGTGTGATGCTGACGTCACAGATTCACCATATTCGAGTTAACCGGTGAGAACGTCAGGAAGACGGAAGTGCAACACAATTATCTTGCAGAGCACTGTGAGAAGCACGACCATAAGATCGACTTTGACGGCGCTTTTGTTCTAGAAACAGAAAGGAATCTAGGGAGGAGGCTTTTGCTCGACTTCTGGCACATTCAGAACACGCCCGCTAATGTGAACCGGTCCCTACGAACAATGCCCTCAGTATAAGTGCACAGCTTTCACAAACCGAAGGAAAAGGAAACCCGGAGCTGTGGTGGAACAAGACGGGGGAAATGCTTTCGTGTAGGCTTGTGCAAATAGTGAATTTTAGCTTCCAGGTGATTCGAACTGAATAGTGGTCTTGGTCGGATAATTTCTAATCAAATTCAAATAGTATATATCTCATGTTATAAAGAAAATGGGCATTTTTGTCATGACTTACCAACGCAATATGTATATATATATATATATATGTATATATATATATATATATTGTCATTGGGTGAGAGTAGACAAAAGGTAGAAAAATATATTTATAGATTGTACATGGAGTACACAGAGTCCTTCAGCCAAGATGCCAGAGCGGCAACAACAACACGGGCTTTTTTCAATCGTCATCTTCGTCGATTTGATGTTCATCATGGCTCATATTGCACATATATTTGTTTTTTTCTTAATTAAAACAAGGCCTGTGCAAACGCCCCCTTTTTTGTTCAACATTGAATAGTAGCAAGATTTGACTTCTGGTAGAATGCAAATGGTAACCTGTAAAATATGTTACATTTTATTATTTACTAAATTTAAAGCATATAAGCCGGTATAACAAGCTTTTAAAAATGTCAAAAATGATGAATTGATGTGAGGGTGATGGGCCAGAAATAAAATGCAAGACAAATCGTGCATGGCAACTTTATGCCCCACTATAGCTCGCAGTGGCATGAATTTTGTAAGCACCTGCATGGGCCTAGTATTGTCATCAGTAAATATGTCCTGTATTGTGTACTATAAGAGCTGTATGTAGAGCTTTGCAAGATTCAAGAAGTCATACCACAACACAGTGCCCCCCCCCCCAAAAAAAAAAAGAAATTGACGAAATTCATGTTACACAAAGGTCATAGCATAAGTCATGTTTACTTATGAAGTAGCGTGCAGAGTTCATAGGTGAAAATGAACTATCCCAAACTCGCCCAACTTGCAACGTTGCTGAACTTCATAGAATAAGGTTTCACCACAACATTCTAAAAGTTGAACATAAGATAGCAGTTAATCTTTTAATTATAAACCTTTGTGTAGAAACAAACATTTATTTTATTTTTTGTCAATATATACGATCTTTTAGTTTACTTGCTTTATTTGAAAATGTAGTTAGTAGTGTGCACTGCATACTTCAAACTCAAAACCTGCAAGAAATTGACGACACATTAGCATGTTTGTCTTACATACTAGCCATCCTGTTTAATGGATTTTCTCCTCTTTTTGCTTTTTGTCATAGTGGCTCTGCAGCTTCTTTTTGTGGAGGCCTTTTTCGCCGAAACGTCGGTTGCTTCGTCAACTTCCTCCATCTCTTCCCAGAGTTCGTCATCGATTGTGGCCTCTTCTCTGTCTTTGTTCTCTTCCTCGTCTTCGATGGTGAAGTCTGTTCGCATCAGCAGACAGTTGAGCCTCGACTTGAGGTAGAGCTAAATAAGTAAAAATAGCAAGGACAACATTTCAGAAGTTACCTCTTAGTAGGACAAGTACACTTGCGATGCTTCAGAAGTTATTTCTTACTAGAACAAATATCAGGTGTAATGTTTCACACGCTGTCTCTAACCAAATTGAAAAAAATGCACAATACTCCAGAAGTTCTCACTCACTAGAACAAATATCGGGCACAAATGTTTCAGAAATTATTGTTACTCGGTAAGTTTTAATTAAGCATTGCCAATATGCATGCAGGCACACTAACACGTGCAGAGGTCGAGGAAAAAGTGACACTGATTGTACGAGGTTTAGATGGGAGACATTTCTAGCACTCATTCTATTCTACTGATGTAATGAAGAGTTTAAAAAATGGTGCAACCAAAGCATGCTAGCTTCTCTCGCGCCTCGAAAAAACTTATTGCTTGGCAAGTCGATGCTGGTTTTCTTGAAGACATACACGGAAATGTTATTCTTTTTCTTTTTTTTGCGTCTAATGAAAGAACCAAGCGCCCAAGAGCTTAGAAAATGTAGCGCTAAGTGCGAGCACATCCTGAAAAATTAATTGCAGCATGTTTGTAGAAGCTAGTTACGGTTCGTACTGCACGTCAACGTCAAAACACTGCACAAGCTTCTGGTCACGTGCTGGCGCAAAATACTTGTAACATTTCTGCGATCTTTTTGCAACCTGGTTCTGTTGGTGATCCACAGAGTGGGCGCTATCGAATGGACTACTTATGCAATTTCTGTGCGGGCGACAATCGAGGGCACAGCTGGCTTTTTTTTTTTTCCTTGGGTTGTAACCTGCACAGTGGGATGTGCCGCAGGGCGCGCCCACCTTGGTGATGAGCAGGCGGGAGTGAAGGTCGTGAACTCGGACGAAACGGTCGAGACCGCAGCTCGCCACGATGGGCAGAGTCGGGTGGCAGCAGACGGCGCGGATGCTGCCCGCCACACCCTTGTACACGTGCACCATGCCCTTGCGGCGGATGTCCAGCAGACCGACGCGGCCGTGACTGTTTCCGACCACCACTTGCCTGCACGGTGAAAACAAGAGCGATGCACACTGTCGCACTGCTGATTTAGGTGATGGCAGCAGTATTGCACTGATAAAAACTGCGAGTGCACAGCCCCTAAGGTGCACCGTTTTCCAATAATTGGTGCTCTTTAAGTAATGAGCTTGTTGGCGATCAGTCGTCTTGCATAGAGTGATCTGATCCTTCACTGAGGTCGCTCATCATTTCATGTTGCTGCCCAGATATGAACACACGGCTCTCATTGCTGCCTGTAGCAAATGAAGTGTTGTGCTGTGAAGCATGTAAATGAAGGTCCGATTCTCGGCGTGGAGGAAGGAGACAGTTAGGAGGAGGCACTGTGCAATATTACAGAAAGAATGAAAAGTCCTGTGTCATGCACACGGACACAAAGCCTCTCTTATCTCAATTATCCTGGTAGGACCACTCAATCCTTTTTTGTAAGCATTTAAATGAGGCGTGATATTGTTAGGCCATGTCAATGTCAGGTGGACTTGTTTTTGGCAAGTCAATTAGTTTTTCCCACAGCAGTGTTTTTATGTGTATCTTGCTTACTCTCTCCCACATTCAATGTGGGAAACGGTAAACATGGGTATTTAAATATTTAAGAGTGACAAAGAAAGCTTTTAGATTGTACAAGTAGGGAACGAACAGATGGCAACACTGCTTCTTCCCTACGTGAGAGCTTCTGCTTAGCCATTCACCTTCGAGCACTCGCTGCGAGAGCCGGATCGAGCCCAGCAGTAGTGGAATTACGTTTGATTAACTGAGATCACGAAACTAGCACAACTTTTGAGAATTGTGTCTCAAAAACCCGCAACGAGATACACTGCTTCTAGCTTCTCGGGAGCGAGTACCAAGCAGTTCAGCTGCAAAGGGAATGCGTTTTTACAGAAGTGCTATTACGGCAACGACGAGTAGTCGAAGCAGACATTGTTTGGTATTATAATGGAAAAAGCCACTCACTCTGGCCGTGGCGTCAGTGACAAGCACGTCAGGGGATACTCGTCAAACTCAAAGTCAACGACAGGCCGTCGCTGCCGACAGTTTGGATCATAAACACGAACCTTGAAGAGACAGAACGGTAATAAATGAAATTAGCCTGAGAAAAAAGAATCGTAAGCGTGCGCAGTGTATGCATAAGTTTAACATGGTCGTAAACTACTATGGCAGCTGAGTTACTTCACTTCTCAGCTTTAGGGTTAATTTTGTGGCCTTGGTGGCTGTATTTCAATATCAAAACCTACTGGTGTAGTATATTGATCTTGGTGCACATTAAGAAATTTAGGTGGCCAGTATTCAGGCAGAGTTAGCCAAATGTTATCCGACACAAGTTAATCTAACTTAAGATCAATGCCACAGAATCATTTGTCAGGCTACAGCCAAGAAGAGCCGCACGACTTATTTAGACAGAAAGAGCTGCAGCAGCAGTGGCAATGCAACAAGTCTTGCAGAACACAACTCGGAGCACATACATTATCTTCACTGAAGTACTACAGAATAACGTCACGAAGGCTCCGTAGAGGGCATACCTGATGGTGCCCCGTAATGGCAATAATCTTCTCGGAATCCTTCAAAAAGTCCATGTCTGTAACCCAGACTGGCACTCTAAGATCAAGGAAATCATTCCTGACCTGTTGGTAAAAAAAGTGAAGATTAAAAAAAACAGGGATGACTGAAGATTAACGTAGCTAACCGAATCCAAAATGTTTACGCTACGTCTTGGTCATCTCGAGCCGAGCCGAGAGTACTCACATTTTTTCGCCATGAAGACGGGCTTCTGCAAGTTTTCCAGGTCCCACAACTTGAGGCTCGTTTTCCTTGCCTCCAGTGGCAACAATTCCCTCTTTCCGTGGGTGCTGACGCATGCGAAATACGTCGGCACCAACTTCCGTCTCCTGCCTGTAAGCCAAGTGGGAAGCGCTCAGGTGGAAACTCTGGTACACCGCCCTGAACTGCGGCGGCACAAGGTGCCCAGAGAATTCTCCGACGAATATCTATAGGCAAATCACTTTTCTGGGTATTTGAATGGCCCAAACCTGCTTTGCATACAGTGCTGGTGTACAGACTCTCCTACCAAACAGCGTACGCAATACTAATGCGAACGCACGCCACATACAACAGTGCCAGATTTCATGCAAGTATTAGCAGTACGCACCTTAATAGATGACGCGAGACTAACACAAACGATCAAGCCTGGCCAGCTGTTGAAACATACCTCAGTACTTCCATCCTTCGCCCACACCCTCAGAAGTCCCGAACTCACGCAGGTGACAAGGTGTCTAGAGCTGCGGTAGGTGAGAATGAAAAATAGCAACGCATTCTGAAGTGAGCCAATGCAACGGAACGGGCCGTTGTGAAAATAACGGTCACTTACGAGTTGACCACCCCGAGTCCCTTGATGGGGCCTTCGCCCCCTTTGACTTCGAATACGTCCTTGCAAATGCCGCTGTTCGGGCAAAACGTTTTCACAGTTTGAGATCTTATGCCGGCGTAAATCTGAAACAACGAACTGCAAATGAGATTCCCGCATTGTTTCAGTACAGTGTGATGCCCTAGAGAAACGTTTTAAAAGAGGTGTGCTGAGAACAGAGCTAGCGTAAGCTCATAGTACGAACCAGTACCAGCAGCACAGTAGTTGTGCGACAATTCAACGTGTAACTATTGCGGCATCAAGCACACTGTTGCAGCACAGAATAGATAAGTATTGCAGTCGAATTAATCGGCTGGCTGATTAAATGTCTGCGACTTAAACGCGTTGGACATTCGCGCAGCTGACGACGTAGCCGCAGTGGTGGACTACGGCGTAACGGGCTTGACAAGCAACGATCGACCTTGACAGACAGCAACCAGATGAACTTGCCTCAGGATTCGGAGTCGTCTTTCCAGCGAAGACAACTGATTTCGTTGCTTTTGCTGACCTCTTGCAGGCTGTTCAGGTTCGCGAAGGTGCGTTTCTCGGTGTTGACACCTGGAAGACGTCACGACGAGCGAACAGTTTAGCAGACATTTAGGCACCACCGTTTTAGTTTATCCCGCGTTATCTCGAGTACCGAGCCTCGATCTTAAATATTCTAGCGCCAGAAGGGACGAAAACGTCGCCGTATCGGCTCACTTTACCTTTTAAAAGTCCAGTTTCAGCTCCAACAAACACATGGTACCTGGGCGCCGCCATGTTGGCCAAGCGTTCACCTGGCGAGCGCAGTATGTACTAATCAAGATTTTGTCTAGCGAGTGATTTTTTTTTGTTATTTTCGATTTTTTACTATTATTCGAAAATAAAAAGAAGAAACGAACAGTAAACGCAACGTGCGTAGGAACAGTAAAAAGAGAAAACTACAGTAAGAACTGTAATTTTACTTCGTTCATCGCAATTTTCGCGAGGTCGTCGATCTGCAGGCAGAGGGCTGAGAGAAAGAAAACGTGCGTGCAGGAAAGTAAACACAACAAACAATGAATAATGTACGTGGCGTGCAAACCATATAATTGCGTCGCACCACCTGTTCTGGCATTGCTTTCTGGTTCACGAGGCCACATGAGAGCGTACATGATTACACGGAAACTATTATATTGGCGGAACGTCACCCGCGAAGTTAACGTATTGTTCGCGCATTCGGGTCTTAACGTAATGGTTCCTCTAAAAGTGTAGCAGCTTGGGCTACTTGGTATGACATGAAATGAAGCTGGTAGGTGTTCTGTGCTTATAGCACAAAACCTCGTTCTGTTCTCGCGCTATTACTACCGTCCTTTTAAAGTTCTGAAATGTGTCAAGTGCGCAGTTCAGCTTCCTTGGCGATTCTCGGACGCATTAAATGTTGACATTTCCGTAGTCTGTAATCGCGATAAACTTCACGTCGATTTACCTAATGAAGAAATACGTTCACGCGGTATGCGCGACTGCTTATTCGATCGTAAATAGCCCTTGGATTTAACTAATGAATTAAAACTATCGGGATAGAACGGATGATGCGTACAGGCTTCATTTGTCGGCTGCTACAGCTTTACTGTACGATAGTCGGACCAAACCCCTTGCAGGGGGTGAGCTAGTTTCGCTCGGGCGACGAAGAGGCTTCCTGGTCCACAATACGCGGCTTTCGCGTTGTATGAAACATTAAAGTGAAGACCGCGAACCTAGTTGCTCACTACTAACAGGGGAAGTCAACTATGAATGAAACACCTACGGTGCATTAGGTTCGAACGCACTATGCAAACAAACCTGCGCCCTGGGATTTTGAGGGACCACAGCAATGCCGTACGAGGTGGCAGCAGACCCGACAGTGGAAGAAAAATTGCAGGTTAAGATCCAGCAGCCACGAAAGGCTGTAGGCCACAGAATGCGGCACATACGAGAAAGCATGGACTGGCCAGTAAATTTTGTTTATTCACTAAGCACAACACTCAGAAGGCTAAAAAAATGATGGGATGACAGAATGTTCGGGACACCCGGAGGCTCTCGGCTTGCGGTGCAGGCGGAATGCACGAAAAAAAAAAAGTTCAATTGTGTGGAACACCAAACACAGCACTCCGCGGGCTTTGGTGATGAACCGAGTTGTCCGACACTCAGGGTAAAGATGAGGAAGAAGAAAATAAATAGTCCACATCTTTCACTTGGAGGAAGTGTACTTGGTGACTGCCTTCGTGCCTTCGGAGACCGCGTGCTTGGCGAGCTCCCCAGGTCAGCAACAGGCGAACGGCAGTCTGCACCTCGCGGCTGGTGATGGTGGACCGCTTGTTGTAGTGGGCCAGCCGGGACGCCTCGGCGGCGATGCGTTCGAAGATGTCGTTGACAAAGCTGTTCATGATCGACATAGCCTTGCTCGAAACGCCGGTGTCCGGGTGCACCTGCTTGAGAACCTTGTAGATGTAGATGCTGAAGCTCTCCTTCCTCCTGCGCTTCTTTTTCTTCTTGTCAGTAGCGCGCACGGCCTTCTGAGCTTTGCCGGCCTTCTTGATCGCTTTACCGCTTGGCTGGGGTGGCATCTCGACTTTCGCAGGCACACAAGACGGTTCGAAAAGGCGCTTCTGTGCCGACGAAAATGCAATGTCCGCTTTATAAAGGAATCGGCGGCATCCACGGGCTGTGTACTATTCAATGGTAGCGCAGTTAAAATGCTCCGTGCACATTGGTGCTGCCCTCTATTAACAAAGTGTAAAAAAGAACAATTTGTTTTATATAACAAAAATTTACTTTACTTCACCCTTTATTTTAATTAATTTTGAAAAGAAAAAATAATATTTTAGTTACTTAAATTATTTATATCTTTATTTAGACAATCTTTGTGCAAAATGTTTGAAGCTTTTTCTATCAACCGCTAGAGGCGCTGGCGCAAATATTACGCTGCTACCATTGTACACGCTTGCTTTGTTGTCAGAATTCATGGTTTTAATTGGAGCGTTGCCGACGAATCGAATTTTTGCAAGTAAGTTGACTGTGTACTATTGGATTGATTAGGAGCCAATGGGTATTTAGAATTCTCATCTCAGCTGTTTGTTAAGCCACGCCTTTTGCCGCCATCTTGTTTATAGTCAGCAGAGGCGGACGCTTTGACGCAACCTGCTTTGTTGGATTCGCTCGCAGGATTTCAAGCTGGACGGTTGTGCCCTCGCGATCTCCGACTTCAGCGTAGCTCCCGCCGACTGGTTCGCCCTCCGCGGTCTCCTGATGCCGTGTAGCTCTCGCATTGTGGCACCCCGCCCTTGGACTGCTTCGACCGGATCCCCACTTTCCTATCTCCTTCTTTTTCCTCTCGTTGGCTGTCTTCTTCTGCTTCTACTTTCCTTCTATCCTTTTTATCCCTCCTTAACCCCACCCCTATAAGGCACTGCGCCGTGTCGCCTGAAGGCAGACAGAAATTAGGTGCCTTTTTCCTCTTCATTGTAACCACTACCACCACCACCTGCTTTGTTGCGCGTCTCTGGTCGGAGCCACAGCTCATTCGCCTGCGAAAGCTAAGCAGCGTTTCGTTTTTTGACTGAAGCACTTTATTTCTGAAGTTCGCCATGTCTGGACGCGGCAAGGGTGGCAAAGTCAAGGGAAAGAGCAAGACCCGCTCCAGCCGTGCCGGGTTGCAGTTCCCTGTGGGTCGTATTCATCGCCTGCTGCGGAAGGGAAACTACGCCGAGCGCGTCGGTGCCGGCGCTCCGGTCTACTTGGCTGCCGTCCTGGAGTACTTGGCCGCCGAAGTGCTCGAGTTGGCTGGAAACGCGGCCCGTGACAACAAGAAGACTCGCATCATTCCCCGGCACCTGCAACTCGCCATCAGAAACGACGAGGAGCTGAACAAGCTTCTCTCTGGCGTCACCATTGCTCAAGGTGGTGTGCTGCCGAACATCCAAGCCGTCCTGCTCCCCAAGAAGACCGAGAAGAAGTCCTAAGCACACTGGCTTGCTAGGGTTCCACGCCGGCAGATTGTATCTCGGTCGGAATGAATTCTGTCAAGTGTTCTCATCCTCATTCGCGACGCTGTTCAAAATTCTGCTGTCATTTTTTTTTTCTGCCCTGTACATAGCTGAAAGTGTAATTTGTGTGTTGTCGTCTCTGTGTATAAATCTGTGTGTGTAAACATCTTCGTGCTGAGCTGTATGATCAGCTGGTGGCAGTATTTCATGTGAATAAAGTTCCCATCTTGTTTACCTACTTCGTATATTTTCTGCCGCTGACGTGCACTGCGCCGTCGTTTATGCGGAGCAGTGCAAACTTAGTTTCAGGCTGTTGCCGAAAAATGCAACATGAAAACCGCAGTGTAAGATCTAGAATGTTTAGAGCAGGAATGGCGAGTTCATACCTCGGGGAACTCGATAAGCTTTCGATGCTTTTTCAAAAAGCTACAAACCCGCGAAGTGAAACCAGCTGTTCCCAACCGTAGCTTCCTTAAAGCAGGAAGAGGCTACTCATATTTTCATCACGGATGTAGAGAACACCTGCAAGCAAATTAATCACGGTGAATGATTTTTTTTTTTTTTGCTTATTTAGCCGCTCGTATAATGTACGGCCGAGTAATAAAGCGAAACCAATGCTCTGCTAACCATTCTAGATGTTCCATGCTACGTCGGGGATGAATATGCATTTCGGTTTTCCCAGGCACTCGCTGCTTAGGCGTCCTATGAAATTAACGAAATGGGAAGAAACGTGAAGTCGGTGATAAGCGAATGGCAAGGATGCCGACGTTTCGGTTATCTCTCTCAGTGACTGTTAATTAAAGGATATATTGAAGAGAAAAGTGCCGCCCGTAACTGTCTATCCTTACGAGGACACCTGAACAGGTCGGCATGGGGATTGGTTGTGGAATTAAAAAGTATAGGTAAGGATCAGGAAGGAAGAAGAGAGAAAACAAAAGTGACTGTGTTTCGGTTATAAGCTAAAGCGAAACTAATCTCGACATGTCGGTATTCTAAAGACTTTCGAGCGACCAGTGTGAGAGGGCTACTAATGTTCCAAGTGCATCCAGTTTTAATAAATGTGTTTTGCAACTGTCGTTACTACAGCTGACGACCAGGACGCTCGATCGTAAACGAAACTGCTATACCAGACGCATCCGAAACAGAGTGGCGTTTCTTTCGTTTACCTTTAGTCATTCATTCTTTGCAACCGTGTCAACTGTTTTCGTTTTTCGGCTGTGTCAGTAACGACAGTGACTTGTCAGTGATAGTTCATCAATAAAACAGCATGCGATGCAACGCAGTAATCGATTGAAAGCGCGAACGATGGCGTCTTGCGTTTCGTGTCCGGGTGTTCAGTCAAGTAACGTTTACCTTCCCTACATGAAAACTGAGAGCACAGTCCATTATCTGATGGCGATTACAACGGTCACGTGTGTTGTAAATCAAACGAAACTTCGCCGACTTTATCGCATCACTTGAACAGTCGCTGCTTTCTGCAGCCTTATCCTCCCCCCCTTTCCAAAACGCTACTTGACCCCCCCCTCCTCAATCTTTTATTATTCAACCAATCACAGGCTGCGCTTCCCACGAGTCCGCGTCACTATTATATAAAGGAAAGCTAGTTGCTTTCGTAAGCAGACGCATTTTGACGCCAAGAACGAAGCCACGTTCAGTGTTTAGTTGCGAGCAAGCACTTTATTGATTTTTGCCCGAGTGCGTTTTGAATTCTCTGTGCCGTCGCCATGTCTGGACGAGGAAAGGGCGGAAAAGGACTCGGAAAAGGAGGTGCCAAGCGTCATCGTAAGGTTCTTCGCGACAACATCCAGGGGATCACGAAGCCAGCCATCCGCCGTCTTGCCCGCCGTGGCGGCGTGAAGCGAATCTCCGGTCTCATCTACGAAGAAACCAGAGGTGTGCTGAAGGTGTTCCTGGAGAACGTCATCCGTGATGCGGTCACTTACACGGAGCACGCCAAGAGAAAAACGGTGACTGCCATGGACGTTGTCTACGCGCTCAAGCGACAGGGCCGGACCCTGTACGGTTTCGGCGGCTGAAGTACTCGCATGCCTCGGATGGCAGCCTTTTCTGTCTGGACTTTATTATCTTTTGTGTATAGTCTCGCAGTGAACCTTTTGTGTGAACTCTCCCGTTTTTAACCACGTTCGCGTCATCCACAGCGTCAGTGCCGGATTTTTTTCAATATGGCCGACTTCAAAACAAAAGGTGGAAGGAAAGTGATAGCCGTTAAGCCTGTCAGTGCTATCACCGGTATTTCTTTTGTGTTCATGAGTGAATAAAAATTGCCATCGTCACCTTGGAAACCTTGTCGTTTTCATTCGACACACGGGGCTCGCGTTCCTGTGCGTCGGTGTCTTTTCCTCGGATGGAATGTCCGGCTTGCGATGCGACGCCGTGGATGTGAACCTGTAATGGCGGTTTGTCGCCAACGAAGTAATAACCGCAGCCAAGCGTAGTCGTAAAGCTGGTTCGTGCAGTTTGACCACTAAAGACGCTTAACGTAATTCAGTAAATGCCCGCGTTAACTCGTATTTGGGTACCTACAAAATACCGCGCCTACGTTACGGGTATTTCACTTTAATCGCCATGCGAGACGCCGTGCACCTTTCTTTCCGTGACGCCGTGGAAAACGTGTGTAAACAATTCGACAGCACAGTCACATGTAGGCCGCAGTTACCCACCCGTTACAACACATAACAGTACAAAATCTAAAATTCATAAAAGCTCGTCAGAACTTTGTGCCTTTATTAACTGTGCTATAAGCTAGCGCGATGCGAAAATATTATTGCGCACTGCAATACCACTTTTTTTTTTAATTGCGGCCAAGCCAGGGCCGGATCCAATCCGCCGCCATAGCCTACAGCGCAAGTTGTGGCGCGTAATCAACAGCAGGTCGAAACAAGTTCGCCGTCAGACGCGACAAAAAAGTTTTTACTTTCGCGAACTTTGTCAGCCGCGCTAATCAACCCGCGACGGACCCACATGAAGCAGGCGACGCTTCTCAAAGCTTGGCATCCGAAAGGTTCCGCTGCGTCCGGGGTTCCGAAACCGAAGGACAAACCGCCGGACGACATGGTCGAGCTGAGCGACGAGGATGACGAGTTCTTGGTGCAAGCGATGGACGAAACTCTCGCCGGTAACTCGACGTCCGCTTTTCGGGACGGCTCCTGTTCGATGCAGAAGCCGCTCGAACAGCTCGAAGGGTTCGACGTCGTTGCCGGCCAGACTTGGGTCTACCCGACCAACTATCCCGTGCGAAGTTATCAGTTCAACATCGTGCAGTCGGCCTTATTCAAGAACACAATGGTCATCCTCCCCACTGGTTTGGGAAAGACTTTCATAGCGGCTGTGGTCATGTACAACTTTTACCGCTGGTACCCCACAGGCAAGATCGTTTTCATGGCGCCTACCAGGCCGCTCGTTGCTCAACAAATCGAGGCGTGTTACAACATAATGGGCATACCGTTGGAAGACACAATGGAAATGACAGGTTGGTTGTTGCGTTTGCGTTCTCAGTTTATTTGCTTCAAGAAAGTAACTGTTGCCCGTTCGCTGTGAGCGCGTCTCGATACATTTCTTTTCAGACGCTATCATGAGCTTTGTTTCTAGTGCGCTCTAGGTATGGCCGATTGGAAGTTGGCGTTTCGTTCATGTAAGCGCCACTAGAGCTTTCGCTAACTGCACGAAGTTTAAAGAAGACGGTGTATATCATACGAGGTTTGAATGTTGACGCGTGCGTTGTCTTGTTCCCCGCACGCGCTATCCGTCAATCACATTAATATGAACCATTCAATATTGTCACAAAGACACAGATACGCAGGTACAAAATAGGGCGTTTACTTTCGTAACCTTGCGTCAATATGTCCTTTATTCTAAGAGAGTGCCGTGAGTGCTGCGATATCAGTGTGTCTATATTGTAGCTGATATCGTCTTGCGTCGCCTTTCAGGAACGGTGCCCGCTGGTCAGAGAGCTGAGGGGTGGCGGCAAAGACGGGTGTTCTTCCTAACCCCACAAGTGATGATGAACGACCTGCTGCGCAACGCCCTAAGACCGCACGACGTGAGGTGTTTGGTGATCGATGAAGCCCACAAAGCACTGGGCAGCTACTCCTACTGTCAGGTAACAACAGCCTGACGCGGTTCATCTGCAGAATGCAACAAAAGCATGTTGCTTTGCAAAACACTTTTTTAGTGAACTGGAAGTGGTACAGTGCAGTGTGATCTGTTATGAAAACAAACACACAATTGCATGGCCTGCACTCTGCAGTTGCAAAAGGAAGCAGTTGATCCACTTTTTGTGCAATCTACAGGTGGGTAGAATAACGAGACAACTAGGCTGGGATCTCATGAATACCTTCTCTCTCAGTATGGTTGTTCTCACTGCCAATAGTCATGACACCAAAAACGGACACGATTAATGCTTCGTGATAGCTCTCTGAGCAGCCATGACAGAGCATGTGCTTACACGTTCCTTTTTATAACAGACTACCCTGTACATCCTCATTGTTCAGCATGTCTGACACCCAGGGGAGCTTTTCTCGTGGTGTCCAATTCTCGAACATGTTCAGTTCGTTAGAGCACTTTCAGTTACGCAAAAAAAAAAAAAAACTGTGATTCATGACGTCATGACCACATCGGTGCTCCGAACCCGCCAGCACGTTCTCAGCGTAAATGTAAACTAAGTGGTTGAAATGTAAAGTAACAGGGTTCTTAAACAAACCTGACAAGTCTGACGGTGCGTATGAATGTGTTGAGATGTTTGGAGGGCGATACAGGAAGTGCGTACAAACCTTTCAGGGGCATCAGGCGGACGGCCGCGTTAAACTTAATTCAAGGGCTAAATGAATAAGAGTCCATGCAATGCCTCCAAATGTGCGTCCAAAAGCGAATTTCTGAGGGCAGCATTCGTTCTGGCAAAATGCATTCCACCATTCTAATTTGTGACAAGAGTTGTGAAAGCTGCATGGTATGAAAGCGACGTTGCGGAAAAAAGACCGGAACCAGGCGGCACACTCCAGCCAATCAGGGGAGGTCGAATTGGACATTGCGAGAATAGCTTCGCAGGTCTCTTGGTGCATTTAAGATTTCACAGTTTTGTGTTGACGTTGCAGGTTCGTGAAGTCGCTACAACGTCAATCCGAGTGCACAGTTATGAAACCTTCATGATCACCCTGATTTCGAGCTTTGATATTTGTGAACCGCCTGACCATTTACGAAGCCATGGCCTTGGTGGATTTTGGTTTTTCCTATCGACATTGCTTGCAAGAAAGTTGATGAGAAACAGAAGGCCTATCAGTTTTTTCTCTGCTCTCACACTGCAAGTAATAGTTACTTTAGAAATGGGCTCTGTCATTAGTTACACAACAAGTTATGCATGTTAAAGAGGCAGGGATTACCAAAGCCGATACAAGAAAGAAGTCGTCAAGACACCACAAACACTGTCTCTTTAATGTAACCCCCGCCAACTAGCAGTAGGTCAACTCGGTTCTCTGTCATTGTAAAAATTTTTATGTAGTGCCTACATTGGTAGTACTCACGGGTCGGCTAGTAGGTGTATTTCTAAGCATCAATGGTCAATTTCATGCCAAAAATAACACTGCTCTAGACAAGTGTGATTCTATCGGTACTATCAGGAGGGCACAAAAGGATAATTTGCAGGCTTGAGCTGATTTGTACATCTTTCAAATAAGTAAACATAGCACTGCTAACAATGGTGCACAATTGTTTTTGTTTCTGCAACCCTAGTTTGTTTCCAAGTATGCGGAATTTTCAGGGATGATGCAACAGTTGCTCTGCTGTGTTTTGATCATACAGCATCGTAACACCTTGCGAAGCACCACATTACTGTGGCATTGTTTTGTTGTCTTATAGCTGTTGGTTTCCAGGTACTCAAAATCGAGGTGCCTGGGCTGTTGCAGCAGAGCTAGCATTTACACCACATGTTCTTGCAGGTTGTGAAAGAAATTATTAAGGACAACAACCAGTTTAGGATTCTTGCTTTGAGTGCTACACCAGGAACAGACGTAAAGGTGAGTTCACACTCTACAAGTAGCTTGCTTGCGTACACTGCACGTCGGTACAATTTGCGATGAACGAAAAATAAATTGAAGTGTGAGGCTGAAAATGGGATTTCACTTTGGAATGGTTGCTTTGTACACTGGTTTTCTTTTTTTGTGAGACTACAGTTTTCAAGCGTGAATTAGGCCATTTTGCTGTAAAAGTGAACTGACCACGAAAATTGAATTATGTTTAAGCAAGCTTAGCAGGAATGTTAATTCATCCTTTTTGACCTAGTAGAACCACTGATGAATTTTCCAGGAACATATGAAAGGTAGCTATACTTGGCTTTATGTTACTGTACTGAGCTGTCAAAAGCTCCTGTTTTAATGAATCATGTCTTCTAACTGCAGGGGTATGATGTCTTGTGGTATTGTGCAATGTGAAGCATGGGATATTAATTGAATTTATACCTCTTTGAAGTTTCATTCGTTAATATATGATCATGCAATGCCAGAAAGGGAAATAAAACTGATGTTTTATACAGCATATTCTGATAAAGGCACAGTATCAACACGTAGTTGTGCTGAAGTGAGCCTGAAAAGTCTATTACTTGTCTATTACCATATTTTCTCACATATCCCTGAAGATACAGTAAACTTATTTCATGAGTGTGATTTCCTCATAGCTGTGGCTTGTGATGTGTTTCATTACTGTTTCATCTGTTTGCTACTAGCCTGTTGTGCTGAATTTGTGATACCATGCAATTATTCTGATATGTTATTATGGTTATATTCTGCATTCTGATCTTGTATTCTGTCATAGAAATGTAGTTAAGCTATGTTGATGTTTTATGTGCACCCCTCCCTGCAATAATGCTATTATGACATTACAAGAATTTTGTGAATAAATTACCAAGTAACCCGTACAAGATATACAGAAAATCTGAAAACTGAAAAACAGAAAAGCTCGATACAAGCTGTATGCGAATTATGGTGCACTGGTTAGGTTCACTGCACTTCACAGTGATGCAAAAAAAAAAAAAAAATCTTCTCAACATCACGCGAGAATCTTCTTTTCTTAAAAAAATTTTTTTTCATGGTTTGTTGTTGGAACTTAAGTTATTGAAGGGGTGGCTTATAAGCGAGAAAATACGGCAATTCAATTGATTTATATGATCTTTAGAGCCTGTTTCATTCTTTCTTCAAAGCTTTTTTTTATCATTTTATTTAAGAGTAGCTGAATGTATTTCATCTTGCACAGGCTGTCCGCAATGTCCTGGCAAACCTGATGATCTCCCACGTGGAGCTGAGGACAGAGGACTCCCTCGACATCCAGGCATTTACGCAGAAGAGGACAATCGAGAAGTAGTGGTGCCTCTTGGGGAGGAAATCGGTGAACTGAAGAACAAGTTCCTCGGGGTGAGTGAGAGCTGCCACTTTCTCGTCTGGTCACTCATCTATTGGTGAGCCCTGGTGTGAGTACGGTTGCTTGCAACGGGCTTGCTGGTGTAATTAATGCTGGTTCATTTTGTTACGTTCGCATCTCCAAGGCATAACCTTACTGCATTCGAAATTAGGAGGAAGTCGTTACCACATGTGAAGGTATTGTGTTTAATCTGCACAGCGCAGAAAAATTGTGAAGCATTTAAACGACAATTACAAAATGTAGAATTCTGAGAGCTAGCATTCACGAGGCAATTCCATACCACATGAGTTAACATCTACATTATAGCAAAGAAGGGCAATAACATCATGAGGTTGAGCTTCTGATGTTGAGAGATCCAATAATTTCTTGGTGATTAAGGGATTCAATGTACAAGAAGTTAGGTGGACAGACATGGGCACTAGAAATGGACAACACGGTGACATATGTTTTCTGTTTCCTTCTTTTGTGTTCACATTTACAAGCCCAACTAGACAGTCTGACACAGCACCTATTTGTTGTCCCCCGAATTAACATTTATGCAAGTGTATTAGACTCAATGTTTGTGTGCCAACGTAAAAGTAAGAGAGTTAACGTTGCATCAAATTCTGTGATGAGCATCTATTATGTTTTTTTTATATGTGGCATGCTGTACTTATATTTGCTGCTAAAACAAGCACTAAGGGAAGTGTTGCCTACTACATATAGACTAAAGTATGATATGTCCTTTTAATAATCGTAAAGCTAGCATTGTTGCAATTGACTCTTGTGATTAGTGGTAGCATAGATATTTCTGTAAATGGCATGTACAACCGCAGTTTGTTTGTACCATGACGTGGAAAATGTAGACGCGGCTCTCCTAACACAAATATGCAAAAAGGATGTGCGTATCTCCGAATCAGCAGCTAGAAGTTCATCGAAGTTTGTCTTCGTTTTAATTGGGACAGTTGCCAGTATTAGTAGTTGGGTAGTACATGCACGGCTGTGAAGTGCTGTTGTAAATTGCAAAAAGGACATGCTTACAGGTTAGTTGACTGTATTGAGCGTGTAGGGTCAGTCCGCAGCATTGAGCATGTAGGGCTAGATAGTGTTGAGTGTGTAGGGTCAGTAGACAGTATTGAGTGTGTAGGGTTAGGTAGTATTGAATGTGTATGGTCAATAGACTGTATTGTGTGTGTAGAGTTAGTATTAACTGTGTAGGGTCAGTTGGCAGTATATAGTGTGTAGGGTTAGTATTCAGTGCTGTAGGGTCAGTCGACAGTATTGAGCATGTAGGGTTAGACAGCATCAAGGGTGCAGGGTTAGATAGTATTGAGTGTTTAGGGTCAGTAGACATTATTGAGTAGTGTAGGGTTAGACAGCATTTATTGTGTATAGTCAGTCGACAGTATTGAGTGTCTAGGGTCAGTCGACAGTATTGAGCAGTGTAGGGTTAGACAGTATAGAGTGTATAGGGACAGACAGTATTGGGTGTGTAGGGTCAGCAGACGGTACTGCGGCAAACAGGGTTACCATAGCTGGCAATTACCGCAGGTGATCCGCATGTACCTCGACCGACTGGACAGGGCCGGGGCCATACCTCGGGTGAACCCCGAGTCTCTGGGGAAGTACCGCATGCTGCTACTCAAGGAGGGCTTTCCAGCAGAACCCGCCCAGTCGTCTGAGCTCCCGCGAGGTGGGCCAGCTGCAGGGGTACTTCTCCCTGCTCATCAGCCTGTACCACGCGTACGAGCTACTGCTGGCTCACGGCATGCAGCCGTTCTTCTACTTCCTCAAGGGTGAGCACACTTTTGACTGTCTCTGCGTCAACAGTTACAACAGACCCTTTTCAAAATTGTAAAGTTAGCTTTCCTGCTATGCAGAAGTGGCGGCAAGCCACTTGCTGCAAATAGCCTGTTCAAGTGCAGTTTGCTTACACAAATAGGTAGAAAATGTGGAGGCGGCTCTTTTGATATAAACACTCATAATTGGCAAGTCCCAGCATATTCAACTGGGATTGTGTCTCCGTTTGAAGCAAGAAACATGCCGCCATTACGTGGGCCAATATGCAGTGCAGAGAAGGGCACTTGCAAAATATGAAAGGGGTCTATTGATATGAAACGGCCCAGTTTCACCTAAATTCTGGTATGGGTGAATATTCGAGCACTTTCAATGTTTGAACGAATGTTACAGTATTCAAATTTGCTGCGACACTAACTTAACTTATCCCAATTTTGAAGTGTTAGGAATGAACGAATAAATATTTATAGCATGTAACAAACACTACTGTGTAGCTGGTTTCACTGCAGCTTCAGAGTGCTCTGCCGAGAAGCCAACTATTCAGGGAAAATTTGCACTGTCATTACACTTTAAAATTAAATGCACGTTTCACCTTCACCTTTATTAACGATTTTATTAAGTTCAAGAGCTTATTATACAGGCTTATGTGCACTAAATTTTTAAACATAATGAATTTACACCTGATAACTTGTACCCTACTGCTATTAAGATCTATTATTGCCATTCAAAGTTGCTTCCACTTCACCTGTCTCGTTTTACCTGCCTAGTTTCAATTCTTAAGAATTTCGTGTGAGCTAGTTTGGCCAGGACAAAAGTGCTGATATTCTTAATAATGTATGCTGTATACTATTCGAACTATTGATTCAAAATTTTTCGACTGAGTCGCTGTCCACCTCGAACCTCAAATTTATTATTCCTCCATCCTTATAAGTGATGGTGAATCGACAGCAGTGTGGGAGATGTAGTGCTTGCAAATAAATTCTGCACAAATACACAAGTAAGGTGAAAAATTAAAGGTAATTAAAATTAAGTAGTTACACAGCAGGCGAAGTTGTTTTTGTTCATGAGGGTTAGCAGGGCTCTATGGGCCGGATCTCATTAAGCAGCTCACCCTCACATGAAACAGGCGATTGTCAAATGTTACACACTTAACTGATTGGCTGTTACTAATTGTCCCTGGATCATTGATTAAGTCTACTGAGTCTATGTTGAAATGAGACTGACAAAAAGTTTTCAACTTTGGTTGTTGTTCAGTTAAGGTATGATAGATCAGTGTGTGTGATTTTGAGTGTCTAGAGTTTCATTACGTTGATGGCCGGAAAGCTCTCCCTGTAGATGTTATTCTACAGCAGTGTTCTAGATCATGGAGTTTTCGCCATAACATTGCAAAAGTGCTTGTGCATAAAATGCAGGCATCGTGGATGGTGAGAAGAGTCAGCCGCGTGTCCGCTACGAGCTGATGCACAACGGCGATTTCGAAGACCTCTACAAGCACCTGGAACAGCGCCTGGGGGTCTCTGAGGCTTCGGCCAATGACACCCTCCACCCGACCGCCGCCGCCGCTGCATCCTCGTTGTACGAGGTGATGATATTTGTTGCCTTGTGGTTGTCATGAGCTTGTAAACAGTTTAACAATTATATGATCACAATCCCTGTCCTTGCCTAAACAACTATGCCTGCTAACCCACCTGCAATTTCTAGATGAAGGGTATGCCACAGATTGTGATGGCCAACAACTTTTCCGTCTAATCGCCTGCCCTAAAGTTTGTAATTAAAAAGTTTGTTGAGCCCAGAGGTTTGCTCAGATTTGGGTGCATGTTAAGGACCCCAGGTGGTCGAAATTATCAAAACCCTCCGTTAACGGCGCCGCTCATAATTATATGGTGGTTTTGGAACGGTAAACTCTACATATCGATCAAATCAGTCAAGAAGTTTATTTATGAGTTCTTCATAATTAGTCTTTTCAGTATAAGTTTTGCTATGGCAATTTTATGTTTGTCTCAATGAAGAGTTCATGTGGGAAGGTCTGAAGTGCCTATGCTACAACATGTTGATAAAGAATTAGCTGTCATAAAAATGAAAACACATTGTGCATGTGTCTCTATTTTGCCCTCCCTTGACAAGAGGTGGCAAATTGAACTTCTTTGCGGTTAACATTCCAGCCTACCGTCTTATCCCAACTCTCAATCTAACGGCTTCTGACCTATTTCTAATGCTTTCTCGCAGAACACCCTTTCTGACGCTGCAAGCCGGGCAGCACATATCGTGGGTCACCCCAAGCTGGCAAAACTCGAGGAAATCATCCTGGAGCATTTCAGAAACTTTGCGGGCAATGGTGTGTTTCAATGTGTCCTGCGCAATGGAACGTTTTCAATATTACTGCTCAGCTTTATTACCTATGCCAATCATTTTCATCTCTAATACGTGTTATACTGTCCTTAAATATCACAAGTTGCCTTTGCTTTTTTATTTGTTCACGTGTTAACTATTTAATAGCGTAGCTGTTATAAGTCAAGTCTGCATGACCATGAGGAAGAGGAAATATAGAAATAAACGGTGCTGAAAATTATAATCATGATGATGCTGCTAAACGATACTGACAATAATGCTCGAAATGAAACTGCTGATTTAGTTTACCCTCACGTACACTCGCGCACTTACAACTTTGATGTACAGCTGTTTTAATGATGTGGTGCGGGCTGAGTTTTTGATCTTAATAAGTACTGGTCATGCCATCTTGACATTACAGGGAACAGGAACTTAGGCACGTAAATGTGAACAGTACAAGAAATGTGCGATTCCCGTATAAATAGCCTTTCAGAACAGGACGAAACACCTATGAAACCATTCGCTCCAATGTCTTTGACAGAGGGAGGCACCCGTGTGATGGTCTTCTCCCAGTACCGGGACAGTGTGAAAGAGATCACGGCGCAGCTGAACCGGCACCAGTCGTTGGTCAAGGCCATGAACTTTGTCGGCCAGCGAGCCGGCACAGCCAAGGGTTTCAGCCAGAAGGAGCAGCTCCTGGTACGAGAAAAAAGCTTCTTCGATTCTCGGTCTGAAACAAAAGCCATATGCGCTTTATTTACGCAGTCCTGCTAACCTTAAACATTACTTTATTTTCTACGGGATGCTGTTTATAAAGAAGTTGCTGCACGAACCAAGGAGATGTTAATATTTGTTTTGCTTTACAAAGTGTCATTTCATGTTTTTGCACGTTCTGAGAAACGTCGCACGTTTTAGGTGCACCTCACAGTAAAAATGGCATCTTCATCTTTAGCTGAGTGCTCGTCACCCTCCAGCTATTTCGACGACTCGCCGAAAGAGCTTGTGTTGAATTTCACTCACAAGTAGCTGTGTAAGCAGACGTAGCAAATTCTATGCATCGGTATTATTCGAACACGGCCAGCATTCGAAACGCGAGCCGAACTGCCGGACTACTTCGCAGAGGAGTACAGAGCAGTAGCTCCGCCCCCGTTGCTTTTCCTTCATTGCCACAGAAAGTTGTCCTCGAGTAAGCAGGTCAAAGAGAGTGCTCTCAGGCCTCTGCATTAAAAAAGGGCACCTGAGAAAAATGGCGACTTCGTACTCTACTTCTAAGATCCTTCTTGCACATAACTGCTAAATGTGGCTGAGATGTTCGTTGCAGTGTCTGCTTTTTGCAGTGTGTATCTTCTCACCAAGCCTAATGAATGGTACGTGATGCTTTCCAGAATGAATCTTAGAAGTGGAATCTTAGAATAGTGTCGTTGCTGGGCTTCTCCGTTCATCGGGGTGTTATGCTGCTTTGAGGGCACTGGTTTCATTTCCAGCCTCAGCAACTATATTTCAATAGGATTAAATGTAGTCTAGGGAACTATGCGAACGACGACGAAGCAGCAAAAAACGGCAAGCCACAGCGTTGGGGCACACGCGCGACCCGAGCTTGCGCTTGTTTTGTATTTTCGGTCTGTTGACGTTCCTCGCTCTTCTGGCGTTCCTTGGCCTTCCAGTAGGTCTATACGTAAATCAACTACTTGACAGTATTGATTGATATGTGGGGTTTAACGTCCCAAAACCACTATATGATTATGAGAGACGCCGTAGTGGAGGGCTCCGGAAGTTTAGACCACCTGGGGTTCTTTAACGTGCACCCAAATCTGAGCACACGGGCCTACAACATTTCCGCCTCCATCGGAAATGCAGCCGCCGCAGCCGGGATTCGAACCCGCGCCCTGCGGGTCAGCAGCCGAGTACCTTAGCCACTAGACCACCGCGGTGGGGCTACTTGACAGTAGTAACACCTGCATAGCTTGATTTTGGTATAGGAAAAAGCTGAGCTAGTTGGTTAAGATTCCTAAATAAGGTAAGGTGTGCAAACACAATTACAACAAATTTGTTCTGTTGTTCTCTTGTGCCAATGTTTTCATGTCCTACCTTCTTTTGAGCTGGACTTAGGTACAGTACTCATGGATTGAAACGCGATATCGAAGTGATTAGCACAATAAGTGGTATGTGCGGTAGCTTGAGCAAAATGCCTCGTGTTGCTACGAATCTGACTGCTAAAGCTAATATTGTCTCTAATATAAGTGCCTGAGCTGAATTATGACAATAAGACAGGAGCTTAAGACAGTGGAAAGTATGCGCATAGCCCTAAATTGTTGTGAATCAGTCCATGAGCATAATATTTGTTAAATAGCCACAGATATCGGGTTCTCCAATATTGTTTTTCACATGATAGTGTCGTGCTTTTTGCACTTAAACACCCAGAAGTTAATGACATTTTTTTTGACACTGCCCCTTTCTCTTTCTTTGCATCGCTTCAATGTGTTGAAACAGGTCGGACCGAATTGGTGCATTCGTGTAAAAGTATATGTTCATCCCACTTCTTTAGGTTGTGAAAAAGTTCCGTGAGGGCGGCTACAACGTCCTGGTGTCGACGTGCGTTGGGGAGGAAGGTCTGGACATCGGCGAGATCGATCTGATTGTCTGCTTTGATGCGCCCAAGAGCCCCATTCGGCTGGTGCAGCGCATGGGTCGTACGGGAAGGAAGCGCGAAGGGCGCATCGTTGTGTTGCTAACCGAGGGCAAGGAAGAACAGGTATCGTGCACTTGGAGAGAACCACTCTTTTTCAGTATCAGTAAGCCTTAATATGCTTAGTGGTAAATGCAGTCATGTTGAGGATATTGAGCAGTGTGTGCCTAGATAGAAAACATTCCAAATATAGTTGAACTTCAATATAAAAAATAATGTAACAGAATTTTCAATATAATTAAGTATTTCACTTTTTATGACTAAAGGTCTGTAGTATGCCATGGGAGAGTGTGCATCTGATCTGTAGGATTCAGAAACCCTTGCGCAACGTTTTGCGCCCATTCATGTTCTCTGCCACTCCTCTAGCACCTCTTCTCACTGCTTAGTTCCAAATTCAGTTTTATGCGAATCAGGAATCAGCGCCCAATTTTATGTTATCGTTATCGCCACGTGTCAAGTTGAATGGTGTGGTTGGTTTGACAGTATTAGTTGAGGTGCAGTAATTTGCACATCATTAAGTCGTCCGATCCTAAGAAAAGCATTACGATGGTACTGATTCTCAGTAATTTGATAAATTAAAATGATATGGTAGCAGAAGATTATGATTTTTTTGTAATTTGCTCAATAATGGATAGAATATATTCTGTGCCATTCTTATGCATATCTATTCTGACTCAGGGTTAGTGATGTCATTATGAGAGCTGTGTTACTTCATATATAGTAATTGATATCTTAATTAAGGTTTGTAATCATGGGTTGTGTTGAATTAGGTGATGCAACAAAATTAAAACTAGAGTTTTCCTGAGAGAAGAATTTGTCTTGCAGCCTACAGTAATGGGCTGATGAGGATGATTATGATGCATTGATTGTTTTATGTGGGAGTAATATGGTGGAAGCCTCACATGTTTAAAGGTTGCACATCAATCTGTGTAAAACAGCTGCGCAAATGTTGGCAAGGGACGTTTCATGTGGCACTATGTCCGGCCTTAAAAAATGTATATATAAACTCTGCCTATAGCCATTGTTGTACCTTGTACAAAAGGTTTGCATGAAGTCGCCATACAAAATCACTTACTTATTATCATGATGTCAAGCACTTCACGAGCACTTCAAATCGCTGACTTTCTCGTTAAGACTCATGTTTGTGTTGCTGGTTTTAGGTAAAAAGGTAAATGTCCCAGTAACTTTTGTTGGGGATTCTGACATCGCTGCTTATCCAATTGTAACGCTTTAGGTGGAAGCAACGAACCTTTAAAGTAGCCATGACATGGTCACCCAGCAATTTGTGGCTTTCAACAAAAACTAGAAGTAGAGGGTCTGTTGTGCCTATACAGATTAGTAAAATGGACCGCAAAGGAATATTGCACTGCAGTACAAGCCCCCAGAAGTGGCCGGCTGTAAACCCCGCCTACCGACGGCAATCGCCATTTTGCCATGGCACAGACATCGTGTGCTGCAAGGAGTGCAGCCGTCGTCTTCTACCAAAGTTTAAGCCGCTACAAATCAATTCAATTTTAGTGCCAAGCTGACGAAAGCTAAATTATCTCTATTTCGCTCACAGCCGACCACAGAAAGACATAATTTGCTGGAACGTAGACATGCGCACAGTTATAGCTGCTTGCCAAGTCGTGGCTTGCGATTGCGCCAGTTTTTCCCGACTCTCGGGCCGCTCGCGTGTTTGTAGAAATATTTTGTTATAAATTTATTGCTCGGACAAATGCGCTAAACTTTTGCTAACTCAAGGATTATTTCAAATAACACAGATTATCACCGAAAATTGGGTGTCATGGCCCCTTTAAGTCTTTAAGGGACACTAAAGAGCAACATTGACTTGGTTTAGAATGAGAAACTGCTATCTGAGAACTCTGATGCCATTTGTCTCATCACCTTAAGTTCATTACTAGTGGATAAAATCGGGGATGAAGTTTAATTTTCAAATTCGCACCGTAATCTTTGTGTGTGATGTCAAAAATATCGCAATGTATTTGTTGTATTTCTTTAGACATTCGCTTGATGAAATTTTTGAAACATCATATGCTAGGTCTATGACACCCACAGATGGCAATGTACTTCGTTTTTTTTATTAGAAGTTACGTAGAACCTAGTAGGAGGAGCAGCGATAGCGTGGTGGTTAGAGCATCCGCCTCGCATGCAAAAGGTCCGTGGTTCAAATCCCGGTGCCGCGCAGTGCCCAACCGGATAGAAGAAAATTTAAAAATCCGCGTGGTGATGGAACTGCATTACGAGGCCTGGGGTGCGGCCTCACCGGTAACCACCGCCGAGAACGCACTCCCTCACCAGAGAAGGATTGGCCACCCTGGTGCAGTATCTGGCCACTACCTCCCACATGCATACGTCAAATAACTCACGGCCCTCAGTCCCCAGCAGCTGCGAAGCAACTGACCACGGCGGCGGTCAGATCTGCAATGCAGCAGAGGGGGCTAAGAATCTCTGGATCCGGACAGGCCGCCATTGGAACCTGAACTTGGCAACGTTTAACGCTAGAACCTTATCTAGTGAGGGAAGTCTAGCTGTACTATTCGAGGAGCTAGAAGGTGTTAAATGGGATATAATAGGGCTCAGTGAGGTTAGGAGGACAGATGAGGCCTATACGGTGCTACAGAATGGGCACGTCCTTTGCTATCGGGGCTTGGCTGACAGAAGAGAACTGGGAGTGGGGTTCCTAATTCACAGAAACATAGCTGGCAACATAGAGGAATACTATAGCATTAACGAAAGGGTGGTAGATATCGTAATTAAACTGAATAAGAGATACAAGATGAAGGTGGTACAGGCTTACGCGCCTACATCCATGATGACGCTTCATTTGAAAGCTTCTATGAAGACGTGGAATCGGCAATGAGTAAAGTAAAAACACAGTATACAATACTGATGGAAGACTTTAATGCAAAGGTAGGAAAGAAGCAGGCTGGAGACCAGGCAGTAGGAGATTATGGCATCGGTACTAGAAACGCCAGAGGAGAGCTACTAGTAGAATTCGCAGAACGAATAATTTACGGATTTTGAATACCTTGTAACGAAAACGAGGAAACCGCAAGTGGACATGGAGGAGCCCTAATGGCGAAAATAAGACCGAAATAGACTTTATAATGAGTGCACACCCAGGCATCGTGCAGGATGTGGAAGTGGTTGGCAAGGTACGATGCAGTGACCATAGAATGGTACGGTCTCGAATTCGCCTAGACTTGAGAAAGGAACGACAGAAACTGATACGCAAGAAGCCAATCAATGAACAAGCACTGAGGGAAAGTACAGGAATTCAGAGTCTCGCTTCAGAACAGGTACTCGGCTCTTAGTGAGGAAACCAACCTTAGCGTAGATACAATGTATGATAATCTGATGGGTATCATTACGGAGTGTGCAGTGGACGTTGGAGGCAGGGTAGTTAGACAGGACGCTGGCAAGCTTTCCCAGGAAACGAAGAATCTCATTAAGAAGTGTCAAATCATGAAAGTCTCAAGTACAACAGACAAAATAGAACTGGCAGAGCTTTCGAAGTTTAATAATAGGCATAAGGTATCCGATGTAAGAAGGTATAACATAGAGAGAATTGAACACGCTCTGAAAAACAGAGGAAGCGTCAAAGCAGTGAAGAGGAAACTTGGGATAGGCAAAAATCGGATGTATGCACTAAGGGACAAAGAAGGCAAAATAACTACCAATGTGGATAAGATAGTTAAAATAGCAGAGGAGTTTTACAGAGATCTGTACAGTAGCCGAGACAACCACGACTTTAATACTACAAGAACTAGCAGTAACCCAGATGACACCCCACCAGTAATGATAGAAGAAGTCAGAAAAGCTTTGGAGAGCATGCAAAGAGGCAAAGCTGCTGGTGAGGATCAGGTAACATTAGATCTGCTGAAAGATGGAGGACAGATTGTGTTAGAAAAACTAGCCACCCTGTTTACTAGGTGTCTCCTGACGGGAAGGGTACCAGAGTCTTGGAAGAACGCTAACATCATCTTAATACATAAGAAAGGAGATGACAAGGACTTGAAGAATTACAGGCCGATTAGCTTGCTCTCTGTAGTATACAAGCTATTTACAAAGGTAATTGCTAACAGAATTGAGAGAGCATTAGAATTCAATCAACCAAAGGAACAAGCAGGATTTCGAACAGGCTACTCAACAATCGACCACATTCATACTATCAGTCAGGTAATAGAGAAATGCTCAGAATATAACCAACCACTATACATAGCCTTCATAGATTACGAGAAGGCGTTTGATTCAGTAGAAAAATGAGCCGTCATGCAGACGCTGCGGAATCAGGGCGTCGATGAAGTATATATAAACATCCTGGAAGAAATCTACAGGGGATCAACTGCTACTATAGTGCTTCATAAAGAAAGCAACAGAATACCAATCAAGAAGGGTGTAAGGCAGCGGGACACAATCTCCCCAATGCTCTTTACCGTGTGCTTACAGGAGGTTTTCAGAAGCCTAGAATGGGAACAGTTAGGGATAAGAGTTAACGGAGAGTACCTTAGTAACCTGCGCTTCGCCGATGACATTGCATTGCTGAGTAACTCAGGGGACGAAATGCAACTCATGATTACGGAGTTAGACAAGGAGAGCAGAAAGGTGGGTCTTGAAATGAATCTGCAGAAAACGAAAGTAATGCACAACAACCTCGGAAAAGAGCAGCGCTTCAAGATAGGTAATAGTGCACTACAAGTTGTAAAAGACTATGTCTACTTAGGGCAGGTAATAACCGCGGAGCCGAACCACGAGATTGAAGTAACTAGAAGAATAAGAATGTGGTGGAGCACATTTGGCAAGCACTCTCAAATTATGACAGGTAGATTGCCACTATCCCTCAAGAGAAAGGTATATAACAGCTGTATCTTGCCGGTACTTAGCTACGGAGCAGAAACCTGGAGACTTACAAAGAGGGTTCAGCTTAAATTGAGGACGACGCAGCGAGCAATGGAAAGAAAAATGGTAGGTGTAACCTTAAGAGACAAGAAGAGAGCAGAGTGGATTAGGGAACAAACGGGGGTTAAGGATATCATAGGATGTACCGCGTAGACAGGATATGT